AAAATTAAAAGGTTAAAAATATAATATATAAAAAATATCTTTTTTATATATTTTTAACCTATATGACAACATTGAATATATCGTCATAGTCGTAGAATACTGACGGATCTGACGAATATTACATATATAGATCCGTAAGTATTCTACGTCTATGACGATATGTCTAATTAATATCTAGAATAGAAGAAAAGTTCCAGATAAATTTTAACAGTTGTTTCTTTATAACTTACAGTTAATTAAATTAAATACAATAATTAAATACATTAATAAAAACGTTTTTATAAATGTCATGCTACTCCATAATCAACATTTTATTGTTAAACCCATACCAATTCCTATATATTGGAAATATGCGCACTCGAATCCTATTAGATTAAGATGTTGAGATTTTAAATTATAATATTTTTTAAAATTCCTTCATAATAATAACTTTAAATGTTAAAACATAATGAGCAATTAGGTTTGGACAACATTTATAAAAAGGTAAAAGAATTAATTTTCACGACTATACATATATGGTAATGCTTCCTGCTTGATTCTTTATTAAATCAGATAAACAAGCAAGCGAGGCGTGACAATTTTTATTTTTGAGGTATGGAAACTTAAAAAAGGTTTTTTTTCTTTTGGACATGTTACTACCCGTTATTACGTAAGTTATATTTAGAATGTACCTACTTATATACATACCATAAGTATAGGAACTTCTCCAGTTCTTTCTAAAAAACCTAACTGAGACATTATTTAAGTAATCTTGTTTCTGTACGCTTCCCTAGGGAATGTGTGAAAATCGAAAATATTTAGAAAGTTTTTACAACTGAACACCTACCTCGACCTCAATCCCACCTAAACCTTTTTAGCACCAATTGGAGCCACGTGAGAATTACTTTTCTGTCAATTTTCATTTTCACGTGAAATGAGTTTCTAATAGGAAACAAAATCTCATGAGACACCTAAGATTTTTTTCCGTGTCTACCTTGTACTTTTGTAAAACAACTCAATAAAACGTTTGTTTTTTTATTACTAATAAAAGTAGCATAGAAAGAGATATACCTTGTAAATAATAAATATGTAAAAATAGAATTTATATTTATTATAACATTGTTAATTTCTTGATTGACCGTTGTAAAGATAACTTAATACTTTCTCCATCCTAAATACTGTATGTATACAAAATGTCGTCAAGGTGTGAAGAGTAAAAAATATTATGAATATAATTAAAATAAAATATATACCTGTTAATAGCAATAATGTGTAGATACCAAGGTGTTAACGTTTGTCCTTTTATATAGATACGTGATGCTTTATAATAATTTTCTGCCCTTATTAAATCACTAATGATTAAATTTTAATAAATAAAAAAATATCTATTTACATCCTAAAATGAGTCAATCCTTTGATAAATCGAGATCTTTTTCTTACAATACCAGATAAGGAACGAGGTAGAATTTACGTATCTAGATATAGTCACTTACATACCTCACGTTCCTACCTACGAGTACAGGTACCTAATGTGTATAATGTAACAAATTGAGACTACCCGACCGTACAAAGGTTACTCTCGCAGAATACATGTTTAATGATTACAGCGGTTTGCCATTTAAACATTAATTTTTAATTTCAAAGAGACTCAGAGTTCGTCCGGTTTACAATCCCGTTACAATAGATATCTTTATTGGTATAAAAGAGTTATAAGGGCGTAAAATTATACTTACGGTAAGCACAAAATCGAATCGCCATTAATCTGTTGGGTGGACGGACGCTGCCGAGCCGCTCGCAAATGAATGGTCATTGAAATGAAGACATATGGACCAAACATATCACTTGGACGTTTTATTTCGTTTGCCAACTGGAACCTGTCTTATAACGCTCCAGAATAATTTTATTTTGTTACAAGTACTTTAAGCAGAGCTAACCCAGGAGGCTTCAAACTTCCATCTTTTAGACTTTTTTGCTCTACGCAATCAAGTAAAATGGGATGGAAACGAAAGTAAGAACATTAGGAATATTTATTACTTTATCATTTCCATTATTATATTAAATATACAATACAATATAAAAAAATATGATGGTGAAGTGTAATAAAAATATATCTTGTATATATTATAAAATAAAACAAATTATCTATAATTTATAATAAAAATATGGCATTATTTAACCTATACTTACCATTTTTTACCTTTTAAATACCTGTGTAATAAATAAATACCAATAACAGTTCTATTTTAGAATAAAAAAAAATATCTAATGCTAACTTAGATTTCTATCTCATTCATCCTTAATGCATTTAATCTAATTAAATATTATTGGTATAGATTATTTCCTAAGATGAGTAAAATATTGTGAAGTTTGATATTTTATCTGGCGACAAGTATTCTAGTTGGAATAGTGAAGAGGAAGGACTAATATTTGACAGCAAACAACGCAATATTATTTTTTAATCCGGACATATTGCAGGCGACAATTTCAATAGAGGACGCTGCTGCTGGTGCGGATTGGAAAGTAGGTATGTTTGTGTTTATCGTGCCAGCTCCAACAGTATATAAGAGAAAAACAACTCAGTGACAAACATGCAAATACCAGCGGCATTTACGAGTATGACATATGGCATCTGCAATGACCTGAATCTATTGCATGACTTACGTACATACCTACATATTTCTACATGATTGATTAAATTTGCTGGACACATATGATAATCAGTCTATAATTAACGCACAAGACGTCCATTTAGACGATACGTACAAATAAACTTCGATTTATTGAGGGCATTTTTGGGACGCATTTCTCTTTCAACAAATTTTAATATTAAAAAAAAATCTCCAGTACTAACAATCCGTATCAACTTCACCTTTCAAGTAATGTAAATACTAATGTCATTTCAAATGTAAAAGCACATAACTAATGAAGTGCTTGACTTATATTTGTAACATTTGAAAGGAAGGTAATAATATCCCTACATACGTCGTAATGGTCGTAAAAACTACCTACATTTAAAAGTTTAAATAATGTAACACTTACATATGTATGGATATTAAAAATACACTCAATCCAATAAATAGAAACACATTTGGAAGCGTAACAGTTTTAATAGCAGGCAAACTTTCGGTACGTCAATAAGTCGTGAATGCAATAACTTCACGGACCATAAGACACGGCTTTCACGAGTAACGGCCGGGGAAATGTTTAAACTTGCGAACCGGAATTTGTTTACTATTTGTATAACCACCATAAAAAGAAATCTACAATCCAAATCAAAGAAGTGAAGACAGATGCAGGAACTCTGAGCAACAGACCTTATTAAGTTGGTTGTTCTGTAGGTACAAATGTCTCTCCAGCCAGTACTCGATTCACCCCGAACGCCGAGTGTGGAACTAGGCACACCAAAACAAGCACATTACCATTTATTTATTATTGTAGCACTCACATTTAAAGCTATCTATACTTAACAACATAGGTAGATACTAGTTAGAATCCTTTTAACTTTCGCGCAATGTAAGTAAATAAGTGAGCGCATTTTCTATTATTATTATCTCTAGTTTCTATTAAGACTTGGCCATTTGTTAATCAGACGACTGCGCAATTACCAAGGTAGTTTACGTATTTCTGTTGCAAACGGCTTTAAATAAACTTAGTTCGGTGAGAATTAATATAATCTCTAAATATCCGCCTACTATTAAATATAGTTGCTCTCCACGTCTCTATTTCACTGTTACTTACATCTTTTAAAGCACGTAACAGACATACAGGCCATCTAGGAAATAGAATGAAAGTAGAATAAATGCGATCGAGAGTTTGCAGACAGAATTTGCGGGGTAACTACGGCCGACCGCATTTGTAATACAATAGTCCGTAAGCAAGTTGGTCTGAAAGTGTCTGTGTTATGGTGGTTTATTTTGTAATAGATAATAATAGAATGGTCACCCCGCCTGCGCTAACGGTATACCCTGGCGGGGCACCAGTCATGGATTAGGTAAAAATTAAAAGGCAGGCCAGTTAGCTCATCGTGATAAATACACCTAGAATTCAGCATAATGGTTTCCAAGAGGGACCACGCGGAAGTCGACCCGACGGGGTATATTGCTAGCAATGAGATTAGTACTCCGCATTATTAACAATCCCTTCCTTGTGTTATAATGGTAGCTCATTAAACAAAATTGAACACAAAATACTATTATAGATGACGCTAGTAGAATCGAGTCTTGTGGTTTTTGTTATTTTAAAATTAAAGATAATTTAAAAGAAATTTAAAAAAATTTGGCGAGTAGTTTTAATAACTTTTTACCGATATAGTAATAATTTATAATCATTTTATTCCTTTGTATTATAGAATTTTGCAAAAAAAAAATACAAACTAACAAGAAACACGTAAGTTACATTTCACCACGTGCGCAACTTGACGCGCTATCTGTCACTTCATTTTCCAAAAGGATGCTACTTTTATATTTTTCTCTGACGAGCGGAATATTGTTTATATAAGTATGTATTAGGATAGGTAGATATTAGTTTAATTTCGATGTAACCTAATTTTTACTTGATTACCAAAGAAAGAAAAAGATAACTATTATTTTTTTATTAATATCATGTTTTTATTAGCTATTATAGAATATTTAATTTTTTAACATCCTGGATAAAGAACTTGATGCTGTCCATTTAGAACAGAACTTACAACATATGATGCAGTAAATCTTCTCACCCATAATGACGAGTATATCAAGAATTAACAATGGTTTCCAAGAGGAATCCACGTAAAGATCGACTGAACAGTAACAACTTAACACAACAATTAAAACTCATTTTAAGAGCTCCTTATTTTAATTACCTACCTAATTCTTAATCTATGTAGGTACGTAATAAAATAAAAAATAATTTCCTCAGGCAGCTGGTTGCTATTCTATTTTTTATTGTTATTTAACATTATTGTCTTATGTGGTGTATTATTTTGTAATAATTTTATGAAATTATAATGTAGAATATGTAGGTACTAAATGAAATAAGAGATATTTAAATAAAACAGGTACATTTTATTGAAAAAAATATGTACACAGCAAAACAAATAAATAATCTTATATTGTATATTAGTCTATAAAACATTAATTTCATTGAAATAAAATACTATACATAACTACAATAAGATTATGTACATAATACCATCTCACGGGAAGTGCTATCTGACTATCAATATAATAAACAATATCCATTTAACATTAAATACTATGTCGATATCTGGAGTCACATTTATCATTTAGGAATTTTATGTGGAATCTCTAAGGTTAAAATACGATAATATAAAAACAGTAAGCTATGATAATTCCTTGATATAATATTTACCGGACATATCCAAAGATCACATAAAGTAGTTTCGCACATTGATAATATCTAACAATGAATGTCGATAACAAATTATCTATCAAATGTACTCATGGTATGTAACCTATAAGTTAACATTCTATCTAGAACTTTTTAGAAAATCTTTTACCATTATCACTTAAATATGTAATTTGAATATTATTAAAAAGCATTCTGAAATGTTCTAAAATAATCTCCCTTGTACCACAAATTAATTACTTATCTGATAAACGACACTTAGTACCTTATTTTCACTTTCACATTAGAACAATGAGAATCATCGTTATCATACATTTAGCACTATCCCAGCTATCAATATCTAACCGCGTCTATTTTATCGACTGCATGAAATTTAATAAAATTATCTAGTTGACCCTGAGTGTAGGTTTAAATAAATAAATTAACTAAACTGTTGCAGTTGAATTGAAGACAATGGACAATGATTATCATATTTTACGCATTTTTTTTCTTAGTTATTTTTTTTATTTAAACTTACATCGTATAGGATAGTGATTCAGGATACAGATACAGATCACGACGTCACTGCAGGGCTATTTAAATAGAAACTTGGCCATCCTTTCATGCAAAACTAAGCTGCCACGTTGATGTAATAAGTTTTAAAGATTATTTCGACAATTGATGACAATTTGTTTTTATCAAATATTAAGTAAATCGAAAAATGTACCTACCATATAGGTAACTACCTATATGGTAGGTACATTCAGTAAGTTACTTTGCGATATATTAAAAATAAGTGTAGTGTTCTGTGTTCCGGTAATTTAGGCCGTTTATAGATTGGTCGAGACAACTGCGATGTGGAAAATGTTTTCAAGACAATTACGATTATACTGAAACATTTGTAAACTCTTTTGGTATTACTCTACTAGGAATTAACTTGATCTACATGATAATGTGGCCTAAAATTGTCTTCACAAGTCATTGCATCACGCTGAACTCACCTATCGTATTAATCTAATTTTGATATACACTTAACGTCGATTGTCCTGCAGATGTCGCATCGCTACCTCATAACGGATTCGAACCATATTTCACTTAAGTTATCATATAACCACAGCAATTGATGAACGTGACCAATATAAGTATTAAAGATTAGGGTGATATTTTTATTTTTTAATAATAATTGTGATATTATTGTGATGTAATTTTTACTCATTTTCTAACATTCTTGCAAATTAAATTTGGCGTAAAAAAATGTTAGAAGAATTTCCCTTTGTTATCGTTAATTATAATTACAACAGTTATTTTGTTACCAGTTCCTTCAAACATCCATTTAATGTAAACACCTTATATATAATGTGTATTTCATAATCAGAAATTATAGTAGATTTTAAATACCTATAATGTATTATATCTTTCGCTTACGGAATACACATATGTATATATAAAGTTACGCCTATATTTCACCGCACATGAGCATGTATTTCAAAACTGTAAGACTATAATGTACTTAATTCTTATTATATTACTATTTTTATACTTTTTAAATTTTAATAGAATTTAATTAGTGCAAATAAAACTGATATGAACATAATATTTTTACCACTAACTTTATATGTAGCTTTCGTATTAAATAAGTAGGTGTTAAAAAACAAATTTTGAAATTATATCGACCGAGTATTTTTCTCTAATAAATTAAGAATTTGTTCAAATTATTTTTGATTCTTATTGGTCGAGAAATGCCGTATGTAACTGTAATTAATGTGTAGGCCCATTTTGTTTTGTTCCAGAAAATGTTACGAATGTCATACAAAATGTATAAAACTATTAATTAATACAACACCGTATCTACTTTAGTCGTAACATCTAGTTAGATCATTCAGATTCGTATCAAGTGGCATTCGTTTAAAATAGAGTAAAGGTACCACATTTTTCGTCTATTAAGTCTAGCATTTTAATACAATAACAAAAGTATAAAATTGTTAACACAAACAAGTACCATATTATAATTATTGAAAAAAGTTGTGTACTTATTTATTATGTAACTAAAACAATGTCGACAGGTAATACGCGATGTCAACGAACGCCAGGCCAGTGTTATTGTCAATTACCTTTCCTATATTATCTACATTTTAATATGCTCAATATTTTGACTAGAAATCATGTTATACTTATTACTCTCTAACAAAACACATAAATTTACACGACATATAGCATAATTTCTTATCAATTTACATTTTATTATAAATTGTACAATACATCGATGACAAGTATGGAATTTTATTAATTCACAATAATTATATTGACAGCAATCTACTAATATTTACTCATTATCCTTATTAAATAATTTGCAACAATAATGATTTAAAATCACGACTGTTACCTACCTACTGTTACCTAAACATTATCTACATTTTATAAAATTTCGACAACGCTGTCAAATTTACAGTATGTATTTTTAGTATAATACATACACGGAAGCGTATCCACAAATTATATTAGGAACCCATAATGCCCAAAGGGAATTTTGATCCGATGTTGATAAAAACCATTTTACGGAGACGACACATAAAATTAATAGACGTCTCCATTTATAAAATAAGGAATGATTAATCACTACTTAGTACTTTTTTGAAACATATAATAAGTAAGAAATAGAATCCAATTTCCAAACAGTCAATCTCAATATTTCACTAACTAGTGTTTTTATAAACTATGATACCTACATATCAGTAAAATCTACATATTGTAAACGCTAATTGTGATGCATTTCACAGGAATATGCAAGTATATTGCATTTGATAAAGTTCATTATGTTAGTTAGTGTCGTGTGATCCTTTTTGTGGCGTTTTGTGGTAGCACCCATTTCAGAATACACATTCGCGTTAACAAATATGTTTTCTAATTTAAAATTTCATGTTAGATATAAGTGTTGACTAAATTGCACTGAGATGTCCTTTAAGACTAAAATCACATTTAACGGATGGTTCGACGCGAATCTACCGCATCGAATATCCTGTATCTCCGCTGAATATATTTAATTGTACTGTAACGGATGCGAGCCGCATGATTTGGCACACAAACAATCTGGTTTGTCAAGGTCATGCGTAATCTCTTAAAATTATGCGCCCAATCACATAATCGATTTCAGTTAAGCTTATGACACTCAAGCCTGCATACATAAATTAAGCTTCGAAATATAAATTTAATAAAAAAAAAAGAAACTAAATCCACAGATTAATTTATCGGAGTCTAATCGACAACTTCCGCATAGCATGTTTTCTTATAAAACGCACAACACTTGACATACAGAACAGCACGGGAGATACGTGACGGAACTCCTACTTTAATGTGGTGCTAGCCTAAAGATGTCGATTCCTCGAGAGGTACATGGCTGCTATCTATATTATCCGACAAAATACAAAAAGAATCTAGTTGTACTGTGAGTTGAACCGCTGCTCGTGTTCGGCACGGTCATCGGGAACTACGCAATCTCGTACCTTCGGCGGGTTTGCTCGAATTTGACGCCCTTTTCCTATGTCGACGGGTACGACCACGGCCTGAGCGGGTTCGTCCAGCCCCCGTCCCAGTACTCGCAGTTGTTTTCTCCTCCTGCTCTTCTCCCCCTTCAGTCCCGTCTGCCCCGCCCTCCGCTGCTTCTCCCTCCGCAGTTCCTTGACCACGAGCACTCTTTTTGTCGAGTTCAGCCATCGCCTCCTGAATAGCGTTCTCCAGAAGCGCGTTCAATTTTCTACTCCTGTAGCAATACATATAGAAGATGAAACCTAAAATCTCGATATAATGAACATGACATAATTAAATTGAACATATCTGGAATACTACCTAGCGTAAGAAACCATTAAATGACGAATCGCAAAGAAAGGACCTGACGGCACACTTGTTTCTATCTTTGGGTTGGGTTAATCTCACAACAAAATTACAATAAATACAGTTAAACAAATAATAATATAAATATAATTTAATAATGTATGATTGAGTACAATATATATGTATATGTTCATTTTACTTACACGTTGGAGTACTTTAAGTAGTGAGGCACACGTCTTTGGCTTTTATAGGTATGTATAATTTACTAACGCGGATGATTCAAATGGAATGCAGGTGTGAAATGCCGGCCTGCGACCAGCATAGTATGCGAGAGTGTGCTACTCACTCGTGTAGGTCGGAGTACGCCTTGAATCTTCGCTGAGCGTGTTCAGGCGGATGACCGTGTGTGAGTGCGAGTGGGCGGTACTCACTTGCGTAGGTTGGAGCGCGCGGCGTGGTGCGCCTCGAGCCCCTCGCTGAGCGTGAGCAGGCGGCGGCCGTGTGTGAGTGCGAGTGGGCGGTACTCACTTGCGTAGGTTGGAGCGCGCGGCGTGGTGCGCCTCGAGCCCCTCGCTAAGCGTGAGCAGGCGGCGGCCGTGTGTGAGTGCGAGTGGCGGTACTCACTTGCGTAGGTTGGAGCGCGCGGCGTGGTGCGCCTCGAGCCCCTCGCTAAGCGTGAGCAGGCGGCGGCCGTGTGTGAGTGCGAGTGGCGGTACTCACTTGCGTAGGTTGGAGCGCGCGGCGTGGTGCGCCTCGAGCCCCTCGCTAAGCGTGAGCAGGCGGCGGCCGTGTGTGAGTGCGAGTGGCGGTACTCACTTGCGTAGGTTGGAGCGCGCGGCGTGGTGCGCCTCGAGCCCCTCGCTAAGCGTGAGCAGGCGGCGGCCGTGTGTGAGTGCGAGTGGCGGTACTCACTTGCGTAGGTTGGAGCGCGCGGCGCGCGAGCCCCTCGGTGAGCAGGCGGCGGCCGTGTGTGAGTGCGAGTGGCGGTACTCACTTGCGTAGGTTGGAGCGCGCGGCGTGGTCGCCCCTCGAGCGTGAGCAGGCGGCGGCCGTGTGTGAGTGCGAGTGGGCGGTACTCACTTGCGTAGGTTGGAGCGCGCGGCGTGGTGCGCCTCGAGCCCCTCGCTGAGCGTGAGCAGGCGGGCGGCGGGCAGCGCGGTAGCGGCAGGCTCCCCGAACCAGCGCACGCGCCAGCGACCGTCGGCGCCGCGCGCCTGCACCACGCCGGGCCACGAGGCGAACCCCCGCGCCGGCCCCCACACCACGTCGCCGGCCGAGAACTTGCGCGCCCCGCCCCCACCCTCATCGCCGTCCCCGCCGGCCCCCTCCCCGCTGCTAGCTGCCTCCTCCTCGCTCTTGCCATCTACCGACGGTCGATGCGGTTAGCGTCGCCCACTTACATTCTCCACGTTACCATTACGTTACGTACGTTACCGAACCATAATAGATAAAATTCAATCAAAAAAATAATTTGCATTTGAAATTTACTATTATTCTATTGTAACAGATATATTACATTTTTTCTTGCGAATCTTAGAACTTATGTATGTTTATTAGATTAAATTCATTCCCTCAACCGTAAAAGAAATAAAGTATTAATATGAAAAAATTGTGCTTTACTTACAATGATGATCAGATGAAATGATGATGGCTTTACAATGATGCGTTAGTAATGGAATCCCAATTTGTGAGCCAATTTTGTTACTTCGAGTGTGGTGCAATGGAAAGCGACAGAAAGCCGGGTGAGAACGTTTGAACGCTGCACGTCACTTTTTTTTTATTCTGATTAGTTTCCAGTACACCCTTTATTAACAGCTGTATCTTGTATTAACCCAACCAAAAGAAAACCAATGACCAATAGTATCGCATTATGTAGAAGCTGAAATGACATACCACAATACACATTGTTACGTATTCGTTTAATACTATAAACATATAAGTTCAATTTAGTATAATCGCTGGCGTGACTGTCAATCCAAAACCAATACAAGACACAACATTGTAATAATTTTGAATTTTGTTAGCTGTGGCTAAAGCGTGAGATGGTTCTGGATATATTAGTATACTGTGGCAGTAAGTTTCAATAGAAAAGTGATAAAGTTTAGAAGGGACCGTCGTATTTGTCGTTCAAGAAAAGAGAGTACGGTTCGTAGTAGTGTGTACCTGTTATTATGATGGTGCCAGTACATAAAATACGAAACATTTAACATTAAATTATTTACTAAATTAGTATATTTATACTATATATTTACATACAATAACATGGTATCTTCAATTTGGTCGATAGATAATTTAAAAATCAGTGATTTTATAACACGACAGAGCTAACTGAACAAATAGGTCCCAAGATTGCATTGAAAAATCTAAATTAGATAGCAAAGAATCCAAAGCGTAGCAAGATCAATACACCCATGAAAAGCAGCACTTACCATCACTGGAACCTAAGCTATGTCTGTCAAATACTTTTTGAATAGCTGATGCGTCCGTACTCGTCCCTGAAGGGGGGAAATGTCTCGCTTGCCCTTTCTCAGGCGAAGAGATGGACATTGCGTCGTAGTCGGAATCTTTCGAAATTCCGTGAACCATACCATAATTAGACCTCATTATTTTGTCTGTTCTATAACTGGACCCATCACCAAAGTCGTTCTTTCTCTTATAGCTTTGCGTCCGGTCATAGTAACTAGACCCAACAGGAATTACATTGTGTTGATTATTTACTGACGATGGATTTACATTCATGTTGTAATGTAATTCGGTGGACTCAACAGAACTATGGGTACGGTTCTGTCGCATCAGTGGGACATTAGGCATCATACCTGAAATGAGAAATAAATAAAATATTAACTATTTTTTCATCAATATAATAAGGTCAAAGCATACGAATAATCAAAACATAATCGAAATAAGGATAGGTAAACGATGTTGATATTTTTTTTTTACCATTATTACATTTATATTTCATTATCTTATTACAAAACCCAGACTAAAGATAATATCAAAGTTAATACTAGGAATAATACACTATCGCTTAAAAGTATTAGGCCACCTAGTAAAATACATTTTGTAAAAGTTTTACTGAATGAAACTACTTCATAATTATTTTAACATGTTTATTAGCCATTTTCAGATATAACAAGAATTTAATTTTTAAATTTTGGACACATCTATGTGTCAACTTTTATTTTTAATGACAGCTTGATAAAAAGTCGAGTTTAGGAATTCTGGGCGTTGATATATCTTGCGACGTCCAGTTTTGCGGTCATCTGGAGGAGAAGGCTAAGATAGCTTCCAAAAAGTTAGGAGTGCTCTATTGAGCACTCCTAACTTTTTGGAATGAAATACCGTCTCACCCTATTGGGTGAGACGGTATTTCATACCGGAACACCGCCTGAAATTATATAATGCTCAAGTCAGACCGCATATGGAATACTGTTCTCACCTATGGGCAGGAGCGCCACAGTACCAACTCCTTCCGTTTCGACCGCATTCAAAGTCGGACGGCTCGAATTATTGACAGTCAACGCCTTATTGTCCGACTTGACCCATTGAAACTGCGCAGAGATGTTGCATCTCTGTGCATCTTCTACCGAATTTATCATGGGGAGTGTTCTGAGAAAATATTCGGATTGATACCCTGCTGCTGATTTTCACCACCGTACAACCCGCCATAAACTAAAGTTTCATCCCAATCATCTGGACGAGTGGCGGTTTTCCACCATGCGTTTTTCAAGGCACTTTCTTCCACGCACAACCATTCTTTGGCTTCCAGCAGCAGTATTTCCGAACCGATACGACAACATAACCTTCAAGAAAAGAGTATATTCCTTTTTAAAAGGCCGGCAGCACACCTGCAATGCCGCTGGTGTTGTGGGTGATCATGGGCGGCGGTAGTCACTTACCATCAGGTGAGCCGCATGCTCGTTTGCCCCCTGTGTTGTAAAAAAAAGCCTCACAAAGGTTCGGTAACCTAGCTCTAATTTTTCCAGTGTTGTCTTGGTAATCTTTTGTCATTCTTCTAACAGTTTATTCCACAAGTCTTCCTGAGATGTGGGACAACGTTTTTACACCTGTCTTTCCAACTGATTCTGATTCCTGACTGATCAACAATAGTTCTATGGGGTTTAAGTCAGGAGACTGTTGTTCTTTTCCTTTAAACAAATCTTTGTATAATCTTGACGTGTGTTTCGGATTATTTTCCTATTAATAATAATAATAAATCTTTTTTATTTTCACCTGATATACCTATATACCCATAGTTTACAGTTATTATTATTAAAATTTCCTATTGAAATACAAATCTCGGACCAATTAAATGAATTTCACAAGATACTGCACTATCCTCTAATATCTTTTTGTAACCTTCTTTTTTTTAAGACCCTTTGTATTTCCCTAAGATCTTCAACAGCCAGCCACCAACAGCCTTAAACCATCACAGACCCTCCGCAATGTTCAACTGAAACTAAAGAAGTACAAACGTCATTCACTCTTTCGTTTGACGTCCGTCTTACGAAAACTTTTCGTTTGGTTCCCAAAATTTCAAAATTTGATTTTCCGTCCAGAGGACCTTTTCCCAATCTGCTGTTATACAATTCTTGTGTTCTCTCGCCCAGTTAAGTCTCTTCTTTTTTTTAATAGATTTAAGTTGTGGTTTTGAGACCGCTATTCATTACTTGAGTCATGCGTCAAAGTCTTCTTTTAACTTGATATACTGACTGATTTATTACGATCCGCATTGAACTGTTCTGCTATTTCCGGTGCAGTTTATCGTCTATTTCGTTAATAACTATACTCAAATCTTCACTCGAAGTTGTGGCTCTCGGTATGGCTGAACGATGTTTGTTGCAAATTGTTCCCTCAGCCGCAAACTTCTTAACGATGTAGTCTACAGTTTTTCTTGGTATCTACTGTAATCTTGAAATCTCATAACTACTTTTATCGGATTTATGAAGACCGATTATTATGCGCTTGATCTCTTGGGAATATTCCTTAGTTTTACCGATTTTCTTCAAAATATGAAACTCAGAAGTGAAAAACAAAAAAATTGAGAAACTTAAGTACTTAGACATGGAGAGCGTGTTTTCTGGTCAATCGACATCACATAACTAATGTAAAATATTTGTAGTAGTTATTCTATATTTTATATGTGTTTATTTTTCAATAGCTAAATCAAAACAAACTTGCGATTTCAAAGATTAACTTCAAATAAATTTCGACAATAACACTATTATGATTTTATGACCAGGAGTCGACAAATAACAATAAGCTGTTTACGATTGCATTGTAGAGTATTTTGCAGTAAGCAAAGCAGGTAAGCAAGTATTTTTCAGTGTTATACAAACAATGAAACCTAATAAATGATCTCTTTAAAATGTATTCTTTGTAACTTAAACAAAACACAAATGGCTAAATACTTTTGAGGGGTATTGTATATATAATACGGTCTGCTGATGACCTAATAATGTAAAATCTATCAGCTGATGAGTGGAAACTTTTTTCATTTTTTCATCATAAGATCTCAAAACTAGAAACTTTGAGCTTTAAAATCCTTTATTTTAATTTCAATACGACCGTTTTTAAAAATACAGCTTCTTGAAAAACCTTTAAAAAAATTTGGCATTTTTTTCTGATCCCTTAATTTTTTCCACTAGTGTACAACATAGAATGGCAAACAAGCTGACGGCCCACCTGATGGAAAGTGGTAACCGTCGCCTATAGACATGAGCAGTACCATGGACATAACAGAGTATACTGTTTCGCCCATGATACCCCCATGCGTTGCCATTCCTGAGGACTCAGGTGTTATTCCTCTGTACCCAGTAAATTCACGCCATATCCCACCCTTCAAACCAAAACACAGCCATGCAAACACAACTCCTTCACGGTTGAAACACGAATGAGACAGAGGTACCCAAGCAATTGACTTTTGTACAAAGTTTCCCTCTGGTACATACACATACTAAATAACACTCACTTTGGGTTTCATTATCAGAATTGAAGTCATTACGAGGCGTAGACCAAGACTGTTCTCGTGACTCAGCCATGTCCTGCTCACTGCTCGACACGCATTGTACCATAGCCTGGAAAGCGATATATATTTTTATTAAAAAGTAAATCAATAAAATATTATATAAAAATAAATAATATATTAAAAATATATAACTTACTATAGATTCAGGCTCCATATTCGTTCGATAAATATTTAGATAATTTATACAAAAACTTTTCTAACATCTGTTTATGTATAAACAAAAGATAGTCTATGCTATTAGAAACAAAAGGTGTTTAATATTACAAATAGAGTTATTATAGAGTTTTGTTAAACACTGTTTAGATAAAAAGTACCTTAAATATTGTTCTAGTAAAACCAATGTAATGTAAATTATGTACAAAAAAGATTTTACAATACAATACCATTATAGTTTATTATAACATACACATAACATATATATTGGAAAACAACAATCCAAATACTAGGTGTATTTGGATTGGACACTACATTTACTTCGCTTAAAATATTCAGGCGAATATCCAAATTTCAAAATGTTGTTTTTACTCCAAATTCACTGAATTTTATTTTAATTACAGAAATATTTACTTGTCTAGCTCAGGATTATATACTGTTTACTGCTATATTAACGGATTATATGGCCCAACTTGCGTCTACGTAATTGCTACGTGTTGAATATCAAGGATCGAAAATAGCTCGTCCTCTGACATGAAGGCCAAAAACCAAAACGATTGATTTAAACCGTTACAGCATTAAAGACAACAAACAAACAGAAACTCACATATTTCTAATATCAGTAATAAAAATACTCACGGACGAGTTGGCATCAACTGGTTCAGGCGACTTGGTAGTGGTGTCGGCATAGTTGGCCTGCGTAGAGAGGCAGCGTGCATGGGCGTGCAAGCGAGGACTAGCAGCCGGCTCGGGCGCGCCCAGCGGACTTAGCGTCGTGGTGTCGGGCGGGCTGCAGCCGTTGCCGCCCGCCTGCGCTGCCTGCGAGCCCTGCGGTGGTGACTTGCCGCGCTGTTGGTTCACAAGCGTCTGTGTTGACACCGAGTGTCGCACGTACGAACCGAACCCGCCCTGCACCTGTCCTTGCCCCCCTCCCGGACCAAACTCGTTCATAAACTTGGGATAACCTTCCGAATTTTCCACCTTAACCTCATTCTCAGAAGGCATGTGGTTGAAAACGGATTGATGTTTATCATCTTTCGGCTCTTCAGGTTGTCCATTCTCTTGCGGCATCTCTATGAAGTTTCTCACTTTCTGACCAGGAATTTGCTTGTGAGCGAGTAGAACATTGGGGTCTATGCTTAACCGCGACGAATTGCCGCCTTGCAAATTAGTCGTTATCGACGACATCTGAGTATTATGAGAGGTTGAGACGAGCGTTGTCTGTTGCTGCACTATTGTCGTATTTTGTTGTACAAAAGTTGAGTTGCTTCTATTATTCGAAGCCGACGCCATCGAAACTTGTTTCGGAGATAAAGGAACCATCAATGTTTGTCCCATCTGATTTGTTTGAATGAACTCCTGTGTCTGGACATTACCTGATCTAACTTGTGAGTTATTGAATGCAACATTAGTGGGACTCAAATTAGCAAGTAAGGGGCTCAGTTGTCCGTTAAAATTGGGACTACTCATCATAACTTGATTATTAGGAGACAAAAATTGAGCACCAGGGCTATGTTGCGATTGGATTATCTTTCCTTGTTGATTTTGAGCTCGAATTACCATACCGCCGTTGGCTCCTGCTGTGAAAACACTAGGATTTTGAACAGGAGTCAAAACGTTCTGACCATTAACCGTTTGCAACTGTAACTGCATTGGCATTCCTGTTGAATTATCCTGAATGATTGCTCCATCGGCAGTCATAACCATTCCACCGAGATTTGGCACAATAAATTGTTGAAAAGCGGGGAAGTTTTGCATAACACTACTAGCATTGTTTATTAAATTCACAGGTTGTAATAAATTTATTTGTTGTGATGGTGATGTGTTTGCAATTATCTGTTGAGAGCCAAAGTTGTTTGAGCTCCCTTGTCCATTCATGACAATATGCGCTGGCGTACCTGATTTACCAGGAACTATTGTTAATGCCTGCAATACCGGTGTTGGTGATATATTATTGTTAGGTGATAATTGGAAACTGCGTGGAGAAAACTGCGGACTAGAATTATGCTGTGGTGATGTATGATGTACCATTAAATTATTAGGATTTTGCTGTGGTGCTGTAATCTGTAAAACATTTGTGATATTTGCAGTTTGATTTTTCTTTTTCTTACTTCTCTTTTTCAAACTTTCAGGAGAAAGCATAGCAACTCCCTGGACATAATTTTGGCCATTTTTCAAATCAATTGGTCTTGAATTTTCATTGGGAGATTGGCCAGAAACAATGCCCCCAGTTACTATTTGCGGTAATACCGGATTTTGTTGAACAACTTGCCCATCTACCGCTACCATTGGCGGTTGGAAAACAAATGGGGTCGGTAAAGTATTTACAACAACCGTAGGCTGATTTACAATCGGTTGGACCCCACCTACTGCAGGCACTACTTGAGTTATAGATGTGGTCACATTGGTTACAATATTATTCGAATTTTGTATTGGTGACATCGTGGTTGAAGTTTTTGGAGGAGGTGGAGGCATTTGATTATTTGACACAATTATTTGGCCAGTTGATGAAATTAATATTTGTCCAGGTGTAGTCGATGGTCTTCTAGTCGTCTGAGGAATTGTATTTGTTGGTGTACTATTCACTTCAGATTTTGAAGGCAAACTTCCAATGACATTTTGAACCATTTCTAAAGGAGATTTCGATATCATATTCTGTGCTGTGGTACCAGCTATATGTAATGGATAACTCGTTGGCAGATTTACTGAATTTATGAAAGGATCAGGTTGATTATTTGGAATAGCATATGTTGTAGCTAAGTTTACACTAGGCGGTGGCGGAGGCCTTATAAAATTCGCTTGTGATGCGTTAATTGACGTAGTAGCTGTATTTGCTTTACCAGCTAAAACGGAAGTGACAGTGTCTCGAGTAACTGAAAATCCACTTGCCATTGTAGTTACAAATGTTTGCACATAACACGCTTGTATTAAAGAATGAGCTGGTCCTCCGCCCAAATGAGGAGGCGGACAGTAACCAGGCATAGAATTTTCTATTCTTCTTCTATCAGGTCTAAATATTTCGTGTGATGATTTTAATCCGGGTTTCACGCCAACCATTGATATGTTATCCACTTCCATTAGATTTTTATTCACATTGTGATTTGATATGAAATGCATCATTTGAGTTCCTGTAATTGATTGATTGTTGGGTGGTCCTGGAGAATTATAGTGATGGTACATTTGGTTACTATTTGGGGTTGAAGGATTGCTATTAAAATTATCTCTACATGAACCAGAGTATGCGGGACTTGGTATCGGGAATGTACAATTTTGCTGTAACTGTGATCCACCACTCCCATTACTGTGAGGAGTATCGGTACTGCGAGAACTGTTTGATAACGTAGGTGATGGTTCAGGTGGCTGTAACGTTTCTGTTGGCGAAACGTTACTAGTACTCACTGTCCCGGCTTGAATAGGACCACAATTTTCGTTAATTACAGGACTTCGTTCAACAAACGTAGAAGATGTTACTGGATTATCCTCAAAGCAATGTTTAGGACTAGAAGTGGGTGGATGGCCCTCAAAATCTGTTTTGAAAACATTATTTTTCATATATTTTAACCGCATATGATTATCCGAGAAATCAGAATTGCCTTTCAACGACATGTTACAACTTTTGTAACACTGTGGCATAGTATTTTCTATGGCTTTATCTGACAATACACTACTGTCAGGTGTATGGTTCGGTGAAGGTGAGGGATTTGGAACCATAGTGTTTCTGTAAAGAGTTTCACAAGACTTTGTCGTTGACTTAGATGTCTTTTCATTCTGGTTTTGACTATGAGGACCATAACAATTATTACAATTTTCATATTGATTACTGTCAAATGAAGAATTGATCCCTACTTGCCTAGATATAGTGTTGTTCAATAAGACAGTTTGTTGTGCTAAATATCCATTAGGATCATCCATGAAGGATGGGACATTGTTATTTGGGATATCATCACATTTAGGATCTTGAATCATTCGCATACCATTAGCTCCGAATGTCATTACTTTATTTTCAGTGGGACTAGGTTTCTTTTTAGCACCTTTGCCATTATTTTTCATCTTTTTCTTACCGACATCCACAGTAGGCCACTGTTGAGGCAACATATTGTAATGCTGGGGTAATGGAGGCACTCTAGTACACATGGTTTGATTCATGATGTGTTCGTTATTTGTGAACGAATTATAAGAGCCAGTAGAATCTTCTGATATATATTTGATTCTTCATAATCTATATTATCAATCTTGTGGGTTTTCAAATTTGGACTGGTCATTGAATTAGAATCATTTCTTTTTACTTGCCAAGGCGGAGTTTTAGCAGGATTTGTTTTTACAACAGCGCCGTTCTGTATCACTAATTGGGCCTGTGGTACATATTGGTTTTGAGTCTTATTTTGATTAACATTATCAGCCAACTGTGTTCTAAAGCCTTTCATGGCCATTTCGATTTGTTTTTGATTCTGTTGTATAAAAATTTGTTGTTGTTCATTAATTTTTTGCATTACTTCTGGGGTCAAGGGTTGATTCAAACCACAAAATATCTGAGATTCCTCCTCCTTAATAGGATATTTTACCGTATTTGTACCAGGTATTATGGGTATATCCTTTTTTTCTTCTTTATTATCCAGATCTACAGGAGCGTTAGGTATAACACCCACAACATTCTTAAAGTTAGTGGTTTGCTTATTGAACCCTGTATTTACGCCAATAATTTGTCCGTTCGTTCCTAATACTGGTAAACCAACATTAATAGAAGTATTGGATGTACCCGAAGATGGTTGGTTTGTCTTTTGTCCATTTTGTCCATCTAGGTTCTCTTGTTGTTGTTGTGTTATCCAACCGCTACTCACAGTAAGATAGTGCGAACTCCTTTGTACCTGTGTTTCCTGTTTGACGTCGTTGTCGTGGGAAATGGCATTTAAGACGTTTTGTGGCATAGATGTAAATGTAGATACGGGTTGTCCGCTATTAATACGATGCTGTCCTATTCCTGGAGAGATAGTTCTATTGTGATCGTTCTCTTGAGACTGAAAGACAAATAAAAATATTATTTAGAGATTATAACGTATACAACAAAATAATATTTCAATATATTTCCGCGAATCCTTTATAATAATTAGACGCCTTAAATAGGTACCATCTAAGTTGGGAGATTAAAGTGTTGTCTATTAAAAATCAACAGACAATTTCTCTATTTTTATTTTGTTTTATAATTTATACAAGTGGATGAAGTGAAGTGATACCAGGGATGGTGAAACAAAACCAAATACATTGTATAACATACTATTCAGTATGTATGTACATAAAAGACGTAATCAATTAATCGCGTGTTTTCCTGAGTTATTAAACAGCTACCATTACAGAACACAAATATTAAGTATCGATATAAATATAATCGCAATAGTGCTGCGTGCTGCTGGCAGCATTTCGGCTTTCTTAATATTATGAATATGGAAATATTATATACCTTGAATTCGTTAAAAGGTCGTTCCCTCTGTACTACGATTTGAGATACACTCATGTTCGGTGGAAATCCAGGCCTTTTCTTCATTTTCTTTTTCAAAACAGCTACTTCTGTATTTGATCCTGCAATAGAACCATAGATATTCTGTTATATAATTACAATGCTATTGTAAATTAAATACATCCTTACAAATGTTATAATTATGAAAATAAATTTGTTTATTTATTCCTTTAAGTGTCTTAACGGTTTAACCAATCACTACGAAATTTGGTATACACGTATGGGATGGAGAAGAATAGAAGCTACTTTTTATTCCAGTCAGTAAATATATCTCGGTTACGCGGAGAAAGTCTCGGAAAGGCTAGTATGGAGTAACAAAAACGTATTTTTTGTTAATTTCAATACCATATAATTAATAAATATATTAATATATGTTATAAATTAATAAAATGTAACAAATTACAAAAGTCGATAGACATCTGGTGGCACTAAATTATAAATCATGGTGTATCTATCATAAAACTTTATTATATACAAATTTTATACAAGGGATAATGTAAGCGATAATAAATTAATTGTTATAACGCTACTAACCATGTTAATATCTTTATAAACAAGTCATAAAATTATTCTATGTCGAAATAAAATGGGAGGTCACTTCGCCGGGAAACATTAACGAGGAGAAACTAAAACGCAATTATTAAAACAATAGCTGTTTTGGCTTCCTTCCCTCGCGTGATTTTTAATACAGTCCCCAAGGCCCAAGTCGTTTTTAATTAAGTTATTTCATATTTTTTAATTTAATAACCCATTACACCCTTTATCAATAAATATGATATAATAAACGACTTTTATATATTAAATAAACTATCAGTAGTGTTAATTTTTTTTACAACTTTAATCTCTAAATACTCCGAACTGTATTTTACGTAGAGACATTGAATTATACCTGTGTACTCCGTAAAAGACCTAGGGTATAGATAATAAAGTTTCAAACTTTTTACCGTGCTTATATAAAATGTGATATGTAAAATAATCCTATCAAGTAAACCATAAAATACATGAGATAAATACAAGTACAACAATGTACGTAAAGTCATTGAAAGAGACGTGGGGAGCGACCGAGTGACTTTGCGTCGTTCTCCAGACGACCTAATAATTTAAAAGTATATTAAAGCTATTCAAAGTTATTTCTTCAAATAACCATTTTTGTATATTTCAAGCATTTTTTAATACCAATAATAGCAAATTTTTTTTAAGAAATTATATATTTGAATAGATTTTTAAATAATATACGAATAATTTACATACTTACTTTCCATTAGTAATTAAACCGAAACCAATATTGGAATAATAAATAAAATCAAGCCACACAATAACTAGTAGTGTATTCAAGCGATAATAAAATCTATTAAAACATTTCCCCTTATCGACATTCATTTCCGAGGGAAACTGCGAACGACCCAGATTGTGGGCGAGGGAAATGGAAAATAAGCGATTCCACAACAAATCGGAAGAGGAGAGAGCACCGATCATCGACCCATTGATATGTAAACCAAGTATGACCAAGATTGAGTACATTATAGATTATAAACACGCTTTATGATGTTAAGTAGGTAATTAAAAGTTACAATTAGGTTTCACAAAGTTATTACGGTTGCTTTAATTATACGTCGTAACAACTTTTTCTAAAATAATAAGCAAACCTATAGAGATGAAAAGTATATCAGTCTTGTAATTCGATAGCGCTTCATAATTAGTTAGCGAGCCGAGAATAATACCGTTATCTATTTGCACATTATCTGGCAGATTTGCAATTAAAATACGGGTTGTATGCGAAGCGAGCCGAGGGTGGTCTCCGAGGCGCTGGGCGCCGGGGTGTCAAGCCCGTGGCATGGGGCGGGTGTCGCAGTCGAGCGGGCGAGGCGACGGGTGGCGCGACTCGTCAGATCAATAGTCGGAGGGGCGCGCGCCCACGCCACCGGCCGCTCTGCACCACCGCCGATTGTTTCAAATTACACCGGTCTTTGTTCCCGCCACTGATCGAGTCGCCTGCGTTTTTGTTTGCTCTAAACGGCCGCCTTCCTTTACGGTAATTACGCAATTCTGTGGCTTGCAGTATAGACTTCCCGATTTGCTACATCGTTCGCTCTTAACGGCTACTCTTGTTTACGGGCATACTTTTCTCATTGCGGTATTTTACTGTAATCGATTACATTGTGATATCCATTTAAAATATATAATTTATGCGAAATACTTTTTATGTGCGAATAATAATACATATCATTATTCAATGGGAATTAATTCTGTGAATAAGTGTTGGTCAAATAATGCAGCGTAACGATATAAATAAAATTACCGCTAATGATACCTATTGTTTACGAGGATGTTACTAATAAAGTAAAAAATAATAATATAATCATATATCATATCACTACATAGTATAAAACAAAATCACTGTCGCTGTCTGTCCGTTCCTATGTATGCTTTTATGTATCTTTAAAACTACGCAACGAATTTTGAAACGGTTTATTTTAATAGATAGAGTGATTCAAGAGGAAGGTTTATATGTATAATACATGCATAATATAGTACAGGAACACTGATAATTTCAGAGGTTTCTAATGTGATGTCGTAATATAATGGGGAGCCGGCAACGCTATTTAGTATCAGCATTGCAGCCGTGCGAAGCCGGGGCAGGTCGCTAGTATATCAATATACTTTTGCAAATAGTAAACAACTATTTGCATAAGTAAATTTTTAATTAATTCAAATAGTAAAAATTTTATTGGTGGTATGGTAACATATAGGTGGAGACAAGGCTGCAATTATTGCAAGGGGGTGTCGGGTGCAGTACAGTACAGGTTGTTACTCCCGGACAGACGGCTGACGAAGTGCAGTTACCCGCTATTCATGCCGCACTAAATGCACCCCGCGCTCTGTTCCCTCTTACTGCCACTTAAAAACAAAGAGACCGCTCTACCCTCTTTGTTACAAGAAACAACAACTCGGATATTCAAGGAACCAATATTTTTTTAGTGGAGCTTTAAAGTATTTGCATACATTAGGTATTACCTATTTATTCTTATATAGACATAAACGCTAAATGAGTTTATGTCTATATTATGAAATACAAGTTTAAAATAATAAATAAAATAAAAACAGGAAATCCTATTTATAACTTGAATATTACCATAATAGTAGAACAATTGGTAATATAATTGAGAAATACTCAGCTTTCTCTTTAAAGCTAATTTCGTATCAATGAAAACATGTCCAATAGTGAAATGAGCATCAACGTACTCAATTGCAAGCAGGTAAGTAAGTATCGCAGGGAGGCCAGTATCCTGATTAATCCTGTTCGGTTCACACTCGTGTAATTGGATAAAGGAGGGCCGAGTGCGGAGATTGCGCCCAGAACGCCCGCCCGCTAATCGGATAATAATGCTCCCGGACATTCTACTACGATGAAACTGCACTAAACCTTTCCTCATAACTCGCGAGCTACTCAAATTATAAAACAGCAGTCGGAAGTTAAACAATGGATGCTTTAAAGCTACTTGACTGAGAAACTTAGTTTATTCACTGCAAAGTTAGTCGGCATGGCGGCAATTCAAAAGCTTTTAATTTAAACGTAAATGCCCGTAAAGGGTGGGACATTTTATGTTATGATAGTCCACGTTTCATGGGGCCGTTAAAAAAAAATTCTACAGAAGCGATGCGAAAACGACAGCAATAAACTCAACTGTGATTGTTCAAGTTCCTTCGATGATGTTTATGGTACTAAATTAGATAATAAAAACTGCAATAATACTATCTTTATACTGTAATTATGAAGATAATTGTAAATGTTTAACAAATCAAAGAATTACGTCTGGTCGTTATCTTAAACCTGAATACTCAAGTCGTGTAATGTTAATTATAACGAGTTCACTTACACGTCCAATGAATTTCCAAAAAATAAAATCGTACGTCATAATTTTATATTTATTGATCAGACATCCTTACTACTATTACAAATGTAAAAGTAAGTTTATTTGTTACCTTATAGCGCCTTAGCGGTTTAACTGATCACTATGACATTTAGTATGCACGTAGTATATGGGATGGAGAGGGATTTTGGCTGCTTCTCATGTTCGGTAAACATATCTCGGTTAAACGGACGAAATCGCGAATTAAAGATACTTATCTTTAAAACAGACATAAATTTAAGTACCTACACTATCGAATTAGCGTAGAAAAATGGATACCTGTGCAGAATAGTACAAAATTGAACCTTTTAACTATATTTAGTGCCTGTGATCGATTTAAGTCTGCGTTTAAAAACTTTTATAATATAAAGTAACAGCTATATAATAGATATAAAATACGACTAACAATTCCTCCGCTTAAACACCGGTGGTGCGCAGAATCTACAATAATAAACTACTCTACCACGTCTCGTACTAAAACACAATTTACCCTCTGTTATTTCGGTGACGATTTTCTTCTCATTCCACGAATCTCCCCCTTGCCTTATGACGTGAATAATAATTTGTTTATTGTTATCTCATTTCTTCTTGTTTACTCCTTAAATTGGAGATTGAATTTCGCGAAGTAATTTGCTGTGACAGCCAACGCTTTTAGTGAAAATGAAGACATTAATAAATTTAGAATGAATTTAGGAACATCGACACTCTTAAATACGATGACTTATAATTTATTTTATATTTGTATTAGGATAACTAGATACATAGTTTCTATAATCGAATTCGACTCGTATATCGTGTTTTAAATGTTAATATCGTGCCAGTTACCCAAACTACATGGTCTTCAAATTAGGATAACATTAAGGATAAAATTGCAAAAATTATGACAGAATCTGAGGGATATTATAATCCTACGCCTATAATGATGATTTAAAATCTAATACGTTCATTTTTGTAAGATAGTCCGATCAATATCGAACCTGAGGTCTCGTTCAAGCAATGTGTCTTAAATAATATGTTGCAAAGATCATTGTGCGATAAGTTGAAAATGACAATATGCAGTCTGATACAAATTTATTTAATTTATTTAAACTCTAATACACAGTGAAACTATGTACATATGGCGAATTTAATATCAGTCGGCGTTCTCTACCAGTCAAGGATTGGGCAAACCGAGAAAGAAGTAGACGGTACCTACATTATTCAATTGAGGAAATATAATAATAATATATTTATATATTATAAACATATAATTAGACTAATATAAATATACACATAATATGTTAAATATATACAATACATACATAAATATCACTATAACAAACAATTAACTGTATTAGAAGAGCAAATGACACAATGTATGACTCAAACTGAGTAACCAGCAAGGTTAAGTTAAAAAGGAAAATGATGAAAGAAAGAGAACGAAATTTTGATGATAATGAGTATGTCAAATATTAGATTACCTTTCTTCTGGTCTATTTGCGGCGGGGGCGTAGCGGGCGAATGCACGCGTGCCTGTAGTGTTGCCAATAGTTTCCGCTTGTGGTTGCACAGCTTGGTCAGCTCCGCACCAGAAGCCGCTTGATATGGTTTACTAACCACCTGTGAATAAAACCAGTCGACTATTGAGTACATCAAATTTTAGTTAAACAAACAGGCGAGTATTAAAAAAAAAAGAAAGTACAGATATATATTCGTTCGTTGTAGACAGGGACACGGAGGCACGGAACATAAGTACATTAAATTAGTAGTAACTTCGTAATAATATGGTTAAATAGATAATTTATGTAATTTATGAGAGTTGGACATAATACTATATTTGTATATATTCATATAAAATAGAAAGTAATTAAAAGTTTAGAAATTAGAATTAAGTGTGTAACTCGATTATATTAAAGACTAGCGACCCGTCCCGGCTTCGCACGGGTGGGCATTTATACAACATTTTAAAAAGTGATTATTGTGATATAACGATAATAGTTGAACATGTAATATCACGAAGTTTTTTGAGTTATTGACATTTTCTTCAATATTGTAGAACATACTTTTGTTCTATCACCAATAGTTTCCGCAACGCACGCGACAAAAGATATTTTATAGTATTTTTTTACACCTTGAGTTATGTTACTAGTTTTAATAAGGATCCCTAATCTTTTCTAGCAATAAATATAGCCTATGTTACTCAGGGTGAATGTAGCTTTCTAATGGTGAAAGAATTTTTGAAATCGGTAAAGTAGTTTTTGAGTTTAGTCATTACAAACATACATACACAAAAAAAATACAAATCTTTCCTCTTTATAATAATAGTGTAGATAATGGTCAAATAACAAATAAAAAAATCTGTCATCTTTGGTGTTCAAACATATAAGTCAACAATGCTTTATTTTATTTACTGTCGAATATGCGATTAGATTACTCTCTGATATTGTCCATATGGTAAGGAAACTATAAGATTAAAAAAAGGTCCAATTACCGTGTAAAGATACCTACTCGTACTTGGCAGAAAATGTTTATATGTCATGCACGGTAAATGATAAATGCTAAACATTTTCTAATACGTTGCATAGATTATAGTGACTCTATGCCTTAAATGATACATTCAGAACGTGTTATCGAGCGACTTGAATCGATGTCTAAACGCCTACAGCACGTAACGAGACTAGCCAATCATCAAGCGTGGCATTTCCTGATTTCACGCCAACAGACACCATTTATGATCTACTTCATAGATCTAACACAATACATTGAACTGGTTCGTCTAATTTATTGCTTCGAATAAAATAACACAAATCGGTGTGTACTAATTGAATTTGTTACATCCTTGATTTATTGCTTCGCGGAAACTAGACTGGCTGTTACTAATATGGAATTACTCATCGTTGTGAACAGTCACATCATGACCGCAAAGATGAAGTGATTACTTGTGTTCGGTTGAGTGGTCAGGAGACTATTAAATCAAATATATAAAGGACAAATTACAAAATGGTCTTGTTTGGTTAGGATAATGTGCCCGATCTATGAACACGACCATTCATTATATACGGACGCCCACTGTGCACGGTTGCACACGCAAATTGCACTATGCTCGCCCGCTGACACAGCTACATATGAGTTGTAGGTACCTAATGTTTTACAAAACGAGGAAATCGGCGCTCTCACAATCTCAAGTACCATGAGAGTTGTTACCACAGTTATGCTAATAGTTAAGAACTGAGCGAATTAAGAGAACGCGAAAGTGGACATTGTGTTAACTTTAAAGGTTTACCTTGATACTAATTGTTTAAAAAACGAAAAAAAAAAAATAACAACAACTAGAAGTCAGTAAAAATCAATACTTTATTTATACATACAGAAAGTTATATATTAATTAAAAAAATTGGTACGACAAAGACATGACATAAAGAGTGGCTTCATGCGGCGAACAGGAGGCCGTATACGTCCTTGTACCACTTAGCGTACAATCACATTCGCACTAAACGTCGAATTATAAGTAATGTAATATGTAGACACAATGTTCTTTGACATTATCAAGTCGTACAACACAATACTAATTAAACTTTCCATGTTCAATACAAGAAAAATATTAACTTTAACTTATAAAACCAGTGTACAATACAGTACCTACCTACAAGTAAATACAAAAGCCTTTCTTTTTTATAACATTTTTTTTTATAACAATAATAATGACAAAGAAAGTGTACCAAATTATGAAATATTTAAATTGGACTAACGTATACTTGAAATTAATATCTAAAACAGAAAATTTATGAACTTTCTCAATCCTTTAATATTTATTATCAAAATATTACCTCTCCGTTTTCAAGGTATTTAACTTGATTTAAAGAAATCTTAACATTGTAATTATTAATGTATTTTATGTTTAGCAGTAAGTTAATTTTCTGCCTTGTATTGAAACAAAGGTGATAATAACAGCAAACTAAGCATTATGCTACAATGTATCTTTGTATGGGCTAACATCAAATCCACTTTAATGGGTTGTCTATCTGTCTACACGGGTAGATAAGCTCATGTCCATGCAGCACAATGCAAACGGTCATTGCAATATGAAACCAATCAACTTGATGAACGCGGCTGCCTCGGCGCGACAGTCATGCATGTCCCAATCATATCAAAATCGAACAGGTAATACTAAAATAATAACTATATTGTAATTAAATATACATCGATTATTACTTTATTTTAAAGAAATAGTGATATTAATTTACCTCTTCATATGTATTCAACAATATAAAAAAATCGATATCTAGCAAATTCCTTAAATAGCACAGACAATAATTTTCACTATATAATCAATAATTATTTAACGTTAGAACTGAAACAAGTAACGTTGATCCAGTAGGATCTCTACTTTTAATTGAAAAAATTCTTATAAAATCTTAAAATGCCCACAAGTATAATATAGGTCGATAAAACAATCGATTTGTGCAAACTGTATGCAATAGGTACAACGCAATCGTTTTATTTACGTGCGGCAACAAAATGTCGAGTAATTTGTCGCCGTATCGTCGGGTACTCGCCACTAATTAACGGGAACATTTACGGCTGCCAAACTTGCTTGTATCTGTACAACCTGCGCGCCCCTCCTCATCTCCACCCTGCTTGCAGTGTGGTGTGTATTTCTCTTTAGATGATCGACAATATAGCTCGTACAAATACGTTACCACTGTCGTACTTCACAATTGTCCGATGTATTTAACATTTGCTTTGACAATTAAAAGGTGAAAGTTTGTGAAAATGTTTAGATGTTTATTATTCCAACAACGTATAAACAGTTGAATGCATTAAAAACATAATTTTGCAACTCTATAGGTAATAACGTAAGGAAAAGCTAATGTATCGCTTCTGTCAGCACCATTATCTGTATATATAAACTTGTAAAAACTAAAAGTTTCCTAATATTTCAAATAGATTAATGTTCCAGTATATAAACAATCATTTTATGGCTATGTATAGAGCTATGTATAAACCGTAATTATCGTGTTCTAAAAAGGTAAGTAGCCATAAAAAAGAATTGACGTCCCCCTGCGGTAATCTTTATTTAGGTCATGCTCTCGTGAAAAGAGAAATAAATATCAATACAAGGACCGCCGATAAGTTATATATAAATAAATGTAGGTTTTGTATAAATATTGTTATACCCCGTTTCAATAGCATCATTACAATGGAAACTTGAAATATTTTCGTCTTATTTCCTTTGTTATTTAAAAATAACTATTAAATTACAATAAGAATGTAGATGTACCAAAATTATTTATAATCGCACTCGTGCGGCTAAATCTCAAGTACTGCAACACTAACATTTGGGGTGAGGGTTGTATTGTATTTGTGATATTGAATATCGGCGGCCTTGACCTAAATCGAATCATGGGGTTATATTTGTCATGTAGCACCTAACATCGCTTATTTGTATATCTTACTAACACTTGACATTAAAAACAAATTTATCACAATTAACTACACAAGTGTTGTTTTTAAGAAATACAATATTTAAAATTATAGAAATAAATGGTTAAATAATTGATTATGATAATTGATTGATCAATAACACTGTACTGACACATCCAAAGCAAAGTACCAAAGAAAACACTAAATACAATACCTATTTATATCTACAAAAGCGTAAATAACAAATTGTAGATAAAAAAAAATTCGCTTCTATATTATGTAAGAGTACAATGTATGTAATTTTATATATAATAATAATAATATAAATAAACTATCGAAGTGACAAACGCAGCGCACTACAATTAGATAACAACACCTACGACTTGTCATTGTATATGGCTCCATTCTACATCGGGAGCTGATCTCTGGGCTTACAATAGCCTATAAACAAAGGTTGTAGATTGTAGACAAAGCCGACGGCGGCTGCTAGTTACGTATCTCACCATGCATCGGAGCGGCGAAGCGTGTCGCTTACAACTGTCTGTACATACATTTTATTGTGCCATATGCATACAATTTAACAGACGCATGTTAGTTATTTTGTAGAAACAACCCCTGCTGATGTTATATCCGAACTGACCGTTAATAATGAGATACGTGATAATCTAATATATTAATACATTAATTTATAAATAAGTCTTATGTACCAGAACTAAGTAATTTTTTTATTACTTTGTTCGGAATATATGCTACAGACTCGGATTACTTGTAGAATATACTTTAATTATTTTTCTGGAAGTAAACAAGGTTACATAAGGACAGTGTAAAATAGATAAGGAAATCACAAACTGTTGAAAGCGTAATTTATTATCCGATTTTTGCATGTGATTTTGTAACGTCCCCTAGGTAAGAATTAAAATCTTCTACAGTACTTAAATAATAAGAAGACAGTACAATCATACTTCATGTATGATTTCCTTAGTTTTAGGAGGCCTATGTTCAGCAGTGGACAGTTAACCGCTGAGATAATAAAAAAGTTATGGCCATGTCTATTATTATGTATATTTGTTTATTTTTAGTATGAAATCATAATGTTACGTACTGCCCTGCGCATGCGCCTGCGCTCGGTCGCCACTTTCACCTTACTGTGTGAGAAAGTTGGAAGGCATTTAGAAACTAACTGAACGTTTGTTTTA